ATTTGCTGTAAAGATTCTCTACTGTAGGTATTTTTATTATATGTACAGCACTTTGGCTCGACCAAAAATCGTTTATAAATGTGCTATATAAATAAAACTTGACTTGATTTGATTAGCTGGTAAATTCTCCAGCTCCCCCTCTCGTCCAAGTACGGTCACCTCTGGTTCCAAAAACTAGATGGCTGGGCCAAAATGCTGAAATCTAGGCTTCAGAATGGCCCAAAAACCAATGGGTGATGTCACTGTGACAACATACACCTCTTTTATACAGTCTATGGTTAACAGGAAGTCAGCCAAACGTTGAAGACATTTTCTTTTTTCAGGCCAAACTGTTGTACAACTACCTTGCCCATCTGTAACGTCAGTTGGGCCCAAAAATACTTTCCCCATTGACTTACGTACATTAGGAATGAGACATCTGTAAATCATCATACTATTTTTATGAAGGCGAATCAACTACAGAGTACAATCACTTGAAAAGCCACAATATATATCATTGAGGCATAAAAGTTATTTTCCCTATCCATTCATTTGATTTGGACGGAGAATGGAGGCAGGCAGGACCCAGTTCTCTTTATACATCCATGTTTTCAAAAGGGAAATCAATCAATGGAATTATTTACTGTAAACTGGTGTGCTGCAGCAGAGTATTGGGTAACGGTCACATGGAAAGACAATAAAACATGTTGTATGATAATGTGACTTACGTGATGATCCTGCAGATCCTCTTTGAAGAATCTGGTTCAGAACATCTTCAGTGTCGCTGGTGCTCGCCATACTGTTCCTCATCTGCATCATAGACAGCTGAGAGCATAGGCTGGGCTGACGGTCCATCTTCTTCAACGCCTGGGACACACCATCATCATCATCACCATCATCATCATCAACACCACCGTCATCACAATCATCATCATTATCGATACATAGTGTGTAAAAAAGTGGAAGTGGACCCACCTTGTCACTTAGTGTGGGGTCGTTCAGAGAGTACAGTTTGTTGGTGATATCTTTGCCAATGAGGTACCTGAACACCTCATTGAGGAAGGTGTCTGACTCCAGAAAGAAGGTGAGCCTCTCTCGAGACCAACACAGGTACTTACAGTTCTCCTCTGCCACGATGGTCACCTGTTCATCAGACACAGAAACATCTGAAACTAGAATTGGATGAGCTCTCCAATCAGTAGAGAAACTTCTGATCTATTATTCTTTTTACCACTGCAATCATTAACCTGTTGAGCCCTGAGCCTGTTTTTAATGTCTCAGGCTCGAAAAATGACATTCCCAGAACAATTGACTATATCTTCCCTTCTAAAAGGGGGAAATTAATAATCTTTTTTCTAAAAGCAATGATAAACCTGTGAGTTGGATGTAGAAAAGTCAGAATCAATATAAATCTTTTTTATTTTAAAGGAAATTCAGATTGAACATAGTAAAAAAATGTAAATTATAGTGTCCGTCCAAAAAAAAAACATCTCTTGAATGATAGGATAGTAGACTAAAAGCTTTAGGAATCCAAACTATAACATATAATAAGTACCCTGTATCAAGATTGATGCAAAACAAGTGACATTTGACCTTTTTAGAGAGGTTTAGAAAAAGAAACCCACTTCTGGGGTCATTTGGGTGGATTTTCCATATCTCTGGAACCCATCGGTCGATTTTGATGATGACATCTCTTTTGAACCGTTAGAGCCAATAGAATAGAGGGGAAGTTCCTAAATCCATCTAAACATTAAGCATTGGTGAATATAGTGATGCGCAGCCAGAATGCCCAAAACCGGAAGCTGTCATACATTCTCGTAGCTATCATAATAGCTATATATGAAAACTCAGTTTTTTCCATAAATATGAGCATGGATTATCAGTAATCATTTCAAAGTGACACAGACACATTGGATTAACCTTCAGCAGCGTTTTTATCGTTGTAATGCCATTGAACACAACTTTTGATCAGAACAACAGCAAAGGTAAGACAATGTCCCGTTTTTGCTCCGTAAAGCTAAGTGGGAATGACACATTAATAGGTGTTTAAATGTTAGGAAGCCCTGAGACACAGTTTCCTGAAAGAAAACTGTGTCTCAGCCCCCGCAGGTTAAGGTGTAGATTGTTTTCCTTTATCCAAAATATGTTATTCATACCTGAAACTTCTCTCCTCTGTGCATCTCAGTGGACCTGAACTCTGGAGAGTCAATGAATGCATTTGTATAGATGTTGTGCAGGAAGTGGCTCCTGTATGTTACCTTCATCCTGTCACGATGAAAAAATATAGTCAAATTTACAAAAAAGATATTCCATGCACATTTTATTCCAGAGAAAACGTTCACTTCAAATCCATTTTGTGGAATTAGGGTTAGGGTTGGGGTTACTGTGAAATCTCGTAGATATAGAGGCAAACAAACTTGACATACTTTCCCTTGAGGAGAACGCTGAGGCGTTCGTCCACAGAGGTCTTGTCCTCTGCAGCATAGGCCTGGCCCTTCTTCAGAGTCTGGATGGTGCAGAACTGTCCTGTGAGCCTCTGGAACAGAGCCTCCTTCACATGCAGTGGCTCAAACATCCGCTTGTAGACCGACCGAAGCTCCCGGTCGATCTTGATCTGACAGAGCAAAGACACAGCCTTTACGCATCTTTCTTTTGAGAAGTTAACATAAAAAGCAAACTTCAATAAATGTTGAGGAGGTGTCTACCTCAGCGACTGGTGGCAGTATAATAAAGAATCAAGTACAACTACCAATATCTGAGGCTAATATATTTGGGCTAAGTTGTATCCAGCAGATATCCAGGCCAACACTTTGCCTTCTGTCACTTGCTAATTGTTTCTGATTAGCACATTGACATGTAAGAATTTACTTGGAGATGAGAGATGACTACATCTACAATTTTTTCACAAGCAGTAGTTGACAAATTCATTTTAGCAAATAAAAAATCACTGGTCTACCATGCTGTGTGAATCAGGTCCTTCCTACATTCAGGACAGGGTGGTTAAATCATACACTCCAGCTAAGAGTGGGACCCAAGATACCCCTCAACCAAAACACACATGTTCGTTATCCTGGCTCCAAAATGATTGAATGTCTACACATCTTCTATCACAGAATAAAAACCCTGCTGTTAAAACTGCACCTTCGCCAAAAATAAATGCACTTTACTGTATGTTAAACTTACTGTTGAAAGGTTTGACTTATTAAACACTTATGTAGTTGCAGGATTGTTGCCTCTTTAAGTTTGCTTCTTCATGATTGATTGCACCTATTGTAAGACGCTTTGGATAAAAGCAGCAGCTCAATAAAAGGTGTTATAATGTAAAAGGTCCTGTTCTGCTCTCACTGGAGGCTCTTTACTTACTCTAACCCTTCGGTGGCAGGGACACATTTGTTCTGCATGTCATTACCATAAAGCAGGACCAAATACAGGACGATATGCTACTTCCTGCCTGAGCCAGTATTTTCATTCGGTGAAACGGCCTGAATGTAAGGCCACGTGAATGATGATGCAGAACTCACCGGCCTGCGCTTGTACAGCAGGAAGAACAGATGCATGAAGTTGACGAGCAGAAACACCACGTTCCACACCATCACATCCAGGTTGCAGCGGTACAGGGTGGCCCACACGATGAAGAGAGCGCATCCTGCCGGGTCAGAGACAAAGAGCACACCGGGTTTAGGGGAGAATACATTTTGACAGTGAATGAACTACTTCTCTAATCAAAGTTCAATATTTCAGTCTTGTTTAGTATCCATTCATTGTTCATTCACTTCTAGAAATTGGTCATTTCTAGAAGTGAATTTACAATGATCATCAAAACAAATAAAGAACCAATACAGGATTCAGCACAGACATGCAAAGACAAAGAGTAAAAGAAAGAAATATATCGAAGCATTACAAAAAAATAATACAAATAAAAAAGGCAACTTATTTCCATAGCAGCCCAATTGCTGTTTTTAGATCACAGAATTGTGAATGATTAGATAGACATCCACAAGTCTGGAGTTAAGTTTTGAAGTTCACGCTATAGACCTTTATGTTAGAAACAGTAAGAGAAACATGTCAATATGAGTGTGACTGTTGTGCACCGACAGAAATGCCAGAGAGGTTCAGGTTCATGTTGTTTTATGTTTGTTTTCTCACTCACCATTTATCTCTCATTCCAGGCTTCCTGATTGTTTTCACCTGGCATCCTTTCTGTATCTCCTGTGCTCATCAGCGTCAGTCCCGCCCCTGATTGTTCCCACCTGTTTCTCATTATCATGTGTTTAAATTCCCCTGCCTCCCAGTGTTCCTCGTCAGTTCGTATTGTCTCTTGCTATGGTCAGGTCTATGTTCCTTGTGCTTTTGAAAAGTTTGATTCCCCAACGTCCTTGGTCACACATTTCAATGGATTTTGTGACAGGATTTCCTTCGTCCAGAGGCAAGACTACGGTTCTAACAGTGGTGGATCGATTTTCAAAGATGGCTCACTTCATCCCATTGACCATCTTCCCTCTGCCAAAGTCACCGCAGAGGTCATGATGAATCACGTATTCAGGATCCATGGATTTCCTGATGACATTGTTTCCGACAGGGGTCCACAATTCATTTCCGTTTTCTGGAAGGAGTTTTGTCGACTCATAGGTGCCACCGTCAGCTTGTCATCAGGATATATCCCTCAGTCGGAGCGTCTGAACCAAGAACTAGAGACTACGCTACGTTATCTCGTCTCCCGGAACCAGACCACCTGGAGTGACCACCTCACATGGGTCGAGTTTGCCCACAATACTCTTCCTACGGCAGCCACAGGTCTCTTTCCATTCCATTGTGTCAATGGTTTCCAGCCTCCGCTTTTCCCTAACAACGAGGAAGAGGTGATGGTTCCATCGGCTCATGCCATGATCAGACGTTGTCGCCGAGTTTGGGCTGGTGCTCGCCAGTCTCTTCTCCGAAGTTCAGCTCGGATGAAGGAATCCCAGGACGACTGAGCGACTCCGGGTCCGACTAACATTTTCAGCACCTATTCCTCAGAACAGATGTATTTACTTCGTCGATGGTTCGAGGATCGGAGTCCTGGCATTGGGGAGGTCGAGATGGTCCTTAACAAAGGGGGTCTATATGGAGGGGGATAATTGTCCCTGGAAGTCATTCGAATTACCTGGAACATTTGGAGTGGGGGAAGTTCTTGACCCCGCCACCTCCCCCCGAAACTCCCGCCTTGTTCCAACGAGAGTGTGTGGCCGGACTAACATGACTGCACTTTTGCAGCCTTACCGTCTGAGGTTGAACGTTGGAACTCTGGAAGTCTTTTAGCCTCGTAAAGGTTTTACGTTTTAATCCCCCACCCCCCCCCCCCCCCGACGATCACCAATCGGCCTCTAATCTAATTAGTAATTGAAGAGTACAATGACCCTCAACGTTTCGCATGTCTGTGGCCCAAACTACTTGAGACACGTGGCCTTTCCGCTGGGTGTTTAGGGCCTCGGTCAAAGAAACTCCCCTGTTGACCTCCACCATATCAGGAAGTCACCTTTCCGTTTGGAAAACGCGACCAGACATACCTCTCGCTGGGGACGCTACTTGCCA